GCCGGCAGGCCAGGGAACACCGCCAGCCCCGGGGTGGCAGGGCGCGGCGGGGCGTAGCACTTGGGGGCGGGCGCGGGAGCGTCCGAGCCCTGGCCCGGAAGAGAAGCCAACGAAGCCAGCCCACTCGGGACAGCGGAGGGCAACGCGGACGAGCTGATCAAACCGGGGTCGCTGGATGCCAGGAAGCCTTTCAAGGCAGACAGCAGAGGGCTGCTGACCCCGAGCGGGCCGGCCACACCAGGCGCGGAGCCGCCGGCGACCACGGAGGCCGACGGGTTGGACGCGCCTTGGGATGCGGGCGGCAAGGGTAGGGGGAGGCCTGCAAACACCGATGACAGCGATGAGGTGTTTGGGTTGTTGGTGGAAGCAGCCGGAGAGCTGGCGGAGAAGGAGAGGCTGGCGAAGGGCGCGCAAGTGGAAGCAAATGGTTCACTGGAAGCTAGAGAAACCCGGGGTGTAGACGCGGCCTGAGGGGCTGCGGCAAGGGCGGCAGCAGGACCCGGCAATGACCCCAGGCCAGCAAACACCGCAGGCCCAGGAGCAGGAGTCGCGCTGTGGGCGGACGTGCCAGGTGCAGCCGGCAACACGGGCGCTCGGATCACCGTGGGGTTGGGCGCCGCTGGCTGAGGCGTGGGAACAGCCGAGACCTGCCCTGGGAACACCGGGAGGACGGGACTCGCCAGGTTCATTCCAGAAGCGGGGGCAGCTGCTGATGCCGCTGGATGACTCGTGGTCTTCACCGGGGACGCGGTGGGGACTGGAGTTGCAGCAGGTGTTGAAGGGTTAGAACCATGAGGAGAAAAGAGCTGACTTGCTGGGGCGGAAAATGCTGCGGGAGGGGAAGACAAGAAGCACGAACTTAGCACCGTGCTGTAATGTACGATTTTAACTCAAAAAACGCATAACCATTTTTGTGACATTTAACAAACATCAAAGAAAATCAACAACAGGTATAATGGGCTCTTGCAATATCGAAATGGCTGAATTCCATCACTCTGATTTTTACTCTTGTCAGATTCAGCCATTTTCTAGACTCTGCTCAGAACAGTCCTTCAATTCATAGTGAAGATGCCTAGAGGTGCTCACACACTTCCTTTTCTATTTTTCTGCTTTCTTTTTTTTTCTATTTTTTTTTTTTTTCTTTTCCTTTTTAGAAAGCAGGATTTATTGAGAGGACTGAAAAGGTCCCACAGTGGGAGGGGACCTGAGGGGGTTGCCCACATTTTTCTGCTTTCTTAAAATTCAAAGAACTTTACCTCTGACTCTTCCAAATCACTTATCTAGAACAAAAATCACAAGTCAGTCCTCCTCTAAAGAGTTTTCAGGACAGGGCTTCCCTTTAAGGGCCACACAACGCCTTCTGGGATTCATGTCCATCTTTCCAGCCTTGTCTGTTGACACTGTGGGATGAATCTAATATTCCAGATTCTTAATCTGTACATTTGCTCATACTGACCACTCTACACTACATTAACCCCAGCCTTTACCTAGCTTGTCTTGGGCGCATCTTTAGGGGCAAAGCCTGTGTCTAATTCACCCTTAGAGTCTTAGCAGCTGTGAAAACAGCACCTGTGTACTCAGTAGAAGTGTTTGCTGTGCTAGATTTATCAGGATTACCACAAATGACAGTCCCAAACCTATACAAGGACTATTCTCATCGCTATATCTAGAGTTTACTGTTAATATTATTATTCTGGTAAACTCTACAAAAAATTAATATAAGCCTTTTGAGGATGACTTGGAAGAAAGTTTCTCCCTGAATGAAGATAATACTGTCTGCCTGTGATAATCTTCTTGGTATCAAACAGAAAGCATGACTTAGGTAGCTAATGTCATAATGACAACTATTATTATCATCCAATACAGTACTCACATCAAATTCTGCTTCAGTTGTAAACACAGCATGTTTCTTTTCCAGTGATAATGAACTGAGACATTTTCTGGCATTTTATGGCAATTAAGACTCTGATGTAAGAAAGCCACCATGGTCTATAAATTGACACCCTGTGCTACTCATGACTGGGAAGAAGCAACAGGCAAACACCAGAGGTGAAGAGTGCACCGACAGCTCATCTGTGCCAAGTGAAGGCCAAGGGGGTCATGCTGGGCTGAACAAACTTTGCAGTCACTTTAGGAAGAAAATGAGGTAGGAAAATTGACAAACAGTAATTTGTAAATATATAAACTGCAAACTCCAATGGCCTGAAGTCTGAACCACTTCAATGCTGTAAGTAGTGATTTCATTTCAGTAAAATAAAATGAGTTATTTTAAGTTTAGATACCTATGTAGATGGTTTTTTGTTTTTTTCTGTATTTAATTTGTTTTATAAGAGTTAGAAACATAAGGGATACACATCTAATTCTGTGCTTGTAAATAATGTAGCCCAAAAGTATTAAGGCCCACAGTGGTAGAGAAACATGAGAATTCCTTGTCTTATTTAACCACAAGCTGAAGACCACAGTCGCCGACAAACCTCAAGGTAAACCCTAGAGTGTTCCTATAGCAGCCTCTGTTGGAAATTTTCTTTATAATAGAGTGAAAGCTATGCACTATCAATCACAGTGCATGCAGGTAAAATGGAAACGAAACAAAAACATCCAAAAACCCTAGCCATATACCATGATTAACATCACTTTCCTGTCATCTAGTTTATTAACCATGAAATGCTGTCTGTCAGACCCCATGCTAAGCACTTAAGATCTAGCATTTCGATTGTCCTCACAATAACCTCCCGAGTCGAAAACTAACACCCCCACTTTATAGATGGGCAATCTGAGGCATGATGTAGTCTAGCATTTCAATTGTCCTCACAATAACCTCCCGAGTCGGAAACTAACATCCCCATTTTATAGATGGGCAATCTGAGGCATGATATGACGAAGTAACTGTTACAAGATTGTTCAGCTACTAAACAGTGGAGCCAAGATTTGAACCGAGATCTCTTAGACTCATGTCCTTAACAACTGCTTTGTCTTTTTTTTGAGTTGGAGTCTCACTCTGTCGCCCAGACTGTAGTGCAGTGGCCGCTCCCGGCCACCACAGCCTCGACCTGCTGGGCTCCAGCAATCCTTCCGCCTCAGCCTTCCAATTTTTTGATTTCTTATAGAGATGATGTCTCGCCAAGTTGCCCAGGCGGGTCTTGAACCTGCGGGCTCAGGCAATCCACTCACGTTAGCCTCCCAAGGTGCGGGATTACAGGCTGAGCCACCGAGCCCAGCTGCTACTTTGTCTTAATTTTTGTTTCTTAAGATGTTTCAAAAAGGAAAAAAAAAACTTAATCATGCTGACATGACAGGGAAAAACAGGATGCTACTCCTGCCTGCCAATAGTACTTCAACACTTAGTCCAATTACCCGCTTCAAGATCTTATGAATGAAGCGAGAGGTCAAGACTGAGGTTTGCTTAATCTCCTATCATAGAGGTCAAATGGCCTGCTCAAGGTCACAAGACTAGTTGCAAGAGGCAGAATAAAAGACTGGATGTCCTGATGCCTCACTCTGTTCTTTCCACCCTACTATGCTACCTCCTTCAGAAACCCCCAGCTCAAAAGCACTCATAAGGCACCTGACCTCAGGGAACAGGATTCTCCCACTGAAAGTCCTAACCAAGTGCCACTTTGCTACTCAAGCACTGATGTCCATTTCTGTCCCAGAAAGCATCTCCTTCCAAAGCACACACACCCTCATGGGGGAAGCATACACCATTCAGTGCTGCTGCCCTCGGGAGATAAGACACAGGCAACATCTTGTCTTTATTTCTAAATTCCATTTTCTACTTCAGCGCCCCAATCCTTTTCTACATTAAGTTATGCTAAATAATACTTACTGAAATAATAAAAGCTAAAAGTAGAATCTGACATAGCCTTTGTCAAAGAGGGCGTTTACCATCCCATGTGTATATATCACAAAATAAACTGCCACAGAATGTAAAGTGAACTTAAACCCAATGCCAGAGTGCTCATATTATACTGCAAGTTTTGCAAATAGGATACAAAGTCCTAAGATTAATCCTAAATCAAGTTAATATATGCATTCATGTTATGCGTATAAAATGTGTCACAACTGGCCAGGCGTGGTGGCTCATACCTGTAATCCCAGCACTTTGGGAGGCTGAGGTGAGAGGACTGCCTGAGCCCAGGGGTTCGAGACCAGCCCGGGCAACTTGGCGAGACCTCGTCTCTATAATTAAAAAAAAAAAAAAGTATCACTATTAAGCCACTTTTAACAAGTATCAATTAATTACATTCTTTAACCAGAAACTTTTTCTAAATCATGATGATTCCGAATACATCCAACTCAAATTGCTCTCAGTGAACAACAGAGCAGACACCCATGACAGACATCCGTTATCTCTGGATCACATTTGTACTTACTCTGATTCTGTATAGGTTTTGACTGATTGGAAAGGTCTTCATTCTCTATACAAAGATAAACAAAAGTTTACTTTAAGCTTTAATCAGATATTTACAACCTTTAATAAACAGAGATGGGGTAAAAAAAGAAAAATCCAGGACATAAATATATATGTATACTGCACCAGGAAACACAATGTACAAGGGGGACCCAAGAAAAACTGGAATTAGTTTTTAAAGGGTGGGTCCCTTGTAGTCCAGGCTTCCCCCGATAGGTAAGTGTTCTAGGAACCATCCACATCAGTGTACCAGCTAGCATTGTTGTGAGAGGCTGGGTTTGGCATGAGTGAATTTTTTTTGGAGATTATTTCAACATGTTTGCCCACTTCATGAGTGATTTACATGAACAACTTGTTTACACTGTGCTAAGTGCTTTTGACTAAAACTGGCCTGACCCCTTTGCCTCACCCTCCCTACTCAGTGGCTCTCATCTCATGTGACTTTTTTTTTGTTTCTCCAGATGAAAAAGTCCTCAAAGAAAAACTTTTTCCTGATATGGAAGAGGTGAAACAAAAAATGGCAGAAATACTAAATGGCATCAAAATGGACAAGTTCCAAAAAATGTTTTGAGCAGTAGAAAAAGCATCTTGATAGGTGTACTATCAAATGGAGAGTACTTTGGAGGTGACTGATGTTTAAACATGTAAGAACAAATGCACAGTGTTTTGTTTTTCTTTTTTCATAAATTCTGGTTTTTTGAGTCCCTCTCATATACCTATGAGAAAAGAAAGCAAATAAAAATAGCAGTAACCATGGGAAGGTCAAGAGGATGATGAGTGATTGCTCTTTCTTACCCCACAGCCCCTCACCTGAGCTTGCCAGTTTTCAATACACATTGTTATTGTACAGATACACTGTGCATAAGAACACTTTCTGGAAAGATGCCAGCCTCAGAGTGCCAAGCAGGAAGAAGTACAGCCTGCAGCTGCAGTGCAGAGAGGACTGTCACTGGCTGAGCTAACAGACACCGCTACCTACAGGGGGAAGACAGGGTGGTGAGAGGTGGCTGCTGGGCGAATGAGAGCAGAACCCACAGCCATCTGAGGGACCCAGCTCACCAGCCACACGGACTGCCCAGGCCAACAGGAGTGACTGTCTTGCTGACCCGCTTTACTCAGCCCTGGGAAAGGCCCTGTGCTAGGAGCTGCCATGATGATAAGCCCAGCTATGGGGACATGAAGCTTGTAAGACCGACAGCCTCTGCACACTCCTCCACATCCCTCAGGGAGAGAACCTATCCAACTAGATCATTAGCCAGGAACAGAAAGGGGGAAAAGTTACCTCTCATGGCTTGACATTGACCATCCAAGAAAAAAGCACTGTGGCAGGCATCGGGTTCACAAAGGAAAAACACAAAGCCTGGCACATTGAGCAAAGAAAAATCACTGCTTGCTTACTAGCCTGACCAAGGTGACAACAAATACTGAATTAAAGAAAAAAACACTTTTAAAACCTGAAATACGCATTAAGAAACACACACACACACACACACACACACACACACACACCGAGGAATCAAGCAGAGAAGGTCAAGATTTTTATATAAAAATCAGATTCCCCACTAACAGATGCAAAGAATGGTGAAGATTAGAAATAACATTACTAAAAGCTAAACTTCTTAATTGGACACAAGAAAGAAACAAATCCCACTTAGAATGCCAAAAATATGTTTCAAAAGAAAAAAAGGGTGTCATAAATGAACAGAAAAGAGACTTGGAAGCAAATACAGAAAAATTAATATATGTAAAATAAGAGCAATAGAAAGAAAAAAGAGGCAGATGAAAATGCAACAATTAAAGTAAGAAAAACAAAATTTTCATAAGCTTCCAAAGACTTGCGTTTTCACATCCAAAGGAGTGCCACAAAAGATTAATGACAAGAAGACACACACCTAGAAATCCTTACATTTCTTTGTAATCTTACAGATAGAGACCAAGTTTCCAATAAAGACATACTGGAACCGGATTTATCGTCCACAACTCTACATATGTGCTCTTTCTAAAGAAACTTCTTAAATACGCTGTCTGCCAAAAGAAAATTAGAACAAACATACCAGAACAGGGAATCAAAAAATAGAAGAAACAGTAACAAGTCATGATCAAGGCAAAATTAAGTATCAAAAGCCAAAATATATGGCATTCCAACAAAACACTAAAAAAGGGGTATGACAACATTATGAAGTAAAATAGAATAGTTTGGGGATTTTTTGTATGATGACAACCATTAAAAATATGAAGGTAATCACTAGCAATATTAAAGATAAAGTTTCTAAGTTTGGATGGGGGCAAGGAGAGAAAAGTTGTTAAAAAATAAAATGCTGATCAATGAAATTTAGCAAAGGTAAGAACATAAGAAACTGGACTAAAAGAATAATAATGAATATAAAAATAAAATGAAAGAACTAAGAACAATTGTATAATTTTAATGATTATTAGAAATTCCTTTCAAAAGTCTCTCCCATGGGTTTAAAAATAGAAATTCAGCTAGATATAATTTACAAACCACACCAACCTTACCAAATAAACAAAACCTGGGGGAGGGGAATTTACAATAAAGGTACTGGTAAAATATTTTCTATAAAAACAAAAAGAAGTTAGGATATTATTACTCAATAGAATCTGGAAAACAAAAAATATTTTATAGCAAGACTATAATTTAGTTGATACTATTTTATATACAGAAAACTCAACAGACTTAAAGTAAATGTAAAATAAGAGTAATCAGAATAGCTAATAGCGCTAATCAGTACTAAGCACCGAGATATGAAGCATTTCATTTGTAATTGTAATAAAAATACTTCTATGCTCTGGAGAGACAAAACGCATATAGCCTATATGTAGAAAATGACATTTTCTTGAAAGGAATGAAGCACTACCAACTTCACATGATATAAAGACACACACATTAAGAGTTACTACAATCAAAACGTCAACCCTCCCAAATACATTATGTAACACACACTCTCTCTCCCCCCTACACATATATAAGTATATAAATTCAAGTGTTATTTAATTGTAAAAAATAATCTTAAGGTTCATACGGAAGAATCAACTTCTAAAAATACACATGACCAATATATGAAGGAGAGCTTGTCTTATCAAATATTAGAACACACTATAATTCTGCCAATAAAATCAATATGATACAATCAGAAAATAAACTAGCTGGAACTGGATAAAGAATCCAGTGTTATACTCATAAGTGTATAAAAATTTAAGGTAAATGTGGTATATCAAATCAGTGGGAGAGATAATAATGTTAATATTAATTGTTAGTATTAATAATATGAACATTATTAATAATAATATTAAGACAGTAATAAATGGTGCTGGCACTAGTGGCCACCATTTAGTAAAAAATTAAGATGAATCTCTATTTCAACTGTCTGAAAACAAATTCCAGATCGAGTAGGTATTTTACAAGACCTAGAATATTTGAACTACATAGGGATAAGAAGATTTCAATCAAGTCAACTTGGTTCCAGCTTTTCTTTCAAAGACTATATGTATCTATTTATGCAAAAATGTAAAGCTACAAAGGCAAAAGGTATCATAAACAAGGGAAATAAATAAAATAAGTTTTAGAAAAAATGTTTTGAAACTTTCATCAGTTGGAGTACTCAACAGAATCCACTCTTGGCTAGTAAAACAGAAAAATAATTTACGAGGGGGGACCCCCAAAAACCAGAACTATCTCTTGGAGGGTGGGCCCCTTGTAGTATAGGCTTTCCCAACTAGGTAAGTGTTCTAGGAACCCGTCGGCATCAGTGTGCCAGCTAGCGTTGTTGTGAGGAGCTGCATTTGACTTCAGTGAATTTTCTTTGGAGATACTTTCAATGCGTTTGCCTATTTCATGATGGGTGATTTACATGAACAATGTGCAGAGTGAAATTTTGTTTCTGTTGGGGAAAAATATAGTGGAAACAGTTGTTATGTTACAGACATCTTACAAAGATGCTGCTCTGAGTAAAACACAAATTTACAAATGGTTTTCTCATTTTAAGAGGTGAAATGCCATTTGATGATCATCTTTATTAAGGAAGTCCTTTGACAAGAAAATGTGGCAAGAATTCATCAAGTCATCCTGAAAGACCATTATTGGGCTATTGATGACCTTGTGGAGTTGACTGGGTGTTATGGAGGACCTGTCAGCAAATTTTATCTGAAAATTTGGGCATGAAATGAGTTTCAGCAAAATCCGTGCCTCGCTCGCTCATGCCTGAACAGAGAGACAATCACGTGACTGTGTGCCATGCTTTGAAGAAGCTGCTGAAGGCTGACCTTGATATTTTTCCAAAGCCATAATCAGAGAATAATCGTGGTGCTACAGTTACGACCCCACAACAAAACAGCAATCTAGTCAGCAGAAAACTGCCACTTCCCCACGACCCCCCAAAACATAAGTGAAGTCAAATGTGAAAACAATGATCTTTTGTTTGTTAGATGTAAGATGGACTGTGCACTCAGTATTTGTTCCTCCAGATCAAATGGTCAACCCAAGTTTTTATCTGGAAGTTTTGAGAAGGTTGTGTCATGACAAGTTGTGGCAAACAGGTGGTTGGTTTTTCCATGAAGACAACATACCTGCCCACACTGTGCTGTGTGTTCAGCAGTTTTTGACTAAAAATGGCAATGACCCTTGTGCCCCACCCTCCTCGTTCACTTGATGTCATCCTGAGTGATTTTTTTTGTTTGTTTCCCCAGATAAAAAATAGTCCTCAAAGGGAAATGTTTTGCTGATGTGGAAGAGGTGAAACAAAAAATAGCAGAAGCACTAAAAGACATCAAAACTGACGAGTCTTGGCGGGGTGTAGTGGCTCAGACCTGTAATCCTAGCACTTTAGGAGCCCAAAGACTGCCTGAGACCAGGGGTTTGAGACCAGCCTGGGGAACTTGGTGAGACCTCATCTCTACAATAAATCAGAAACTTAGCCAGGCATGATGGCTTGCAACTGTAGTTCCAGCTATGTGGAAGGCTGAGGTGGAAGGATTGCCTGAGCCCATCAGGTCAAAGCTGTGGTGGCCATGAGCATGTCACTACACTCCAGCCTGGGTGACAGAGTGAGACTCCAACTCAAAAAAAAAAAAAAAAAAAAATTGACAAGTCCAAAAATTGTTTTGAGCAGTGCAAAGTACCTCAATAGGTATATTGCATCAAACAGAGAGTACTTTAAAGGTGACTGTAGTTAAAAGATGTAAGAATAAATACACAATTTTTTAATAAATAAATTCCCGTTTTCTTGGGGTCCCTCCTCAATACATTATTAGGCAACTTGTCTCTGGGAATGGCAGAAAAATGATTAAGTGTTATTCCTATACCATGCATATAAAAATATGAATGGCAAGTAGATTGAAAGCTATAGATTTAAAAGGAACCACTATAAAAGTAATTAAAGAATATATATAACATTTTCATACTATTAGGGTAAGAAAAAATTTCCAAAGCAAGACACAAAATTCAGAAGAGTCAAACAAACAATAACTGGTCTTAATAAAAGTTAAGCTTTTTTATAAAAAAAAAAAAAAAAAACCCCACACAAAAATGTAAGCTAAATAATATTAGTCTCTCATACTGGCAAAGTTAAAAAACGGATCATCTTCTATGTTGAAGGGGTGTGAAGAAACCATATTCTCATGTACTCTCACAGGCAGGCATAAGCTGGCATAGAATGTTCAGAGAAGAGTTTGGCAACACATAAAAAACTACTTATTCTTCATACTTCATGTTCCTTAACACATCCAAAGAAAAAGATTGGACTGGCAAGTGCTGGGGAGGTGCACCATTCTTATTGCTTTTTTTACCCCCCAAGCCCTTCCTTTGCGAAGTAAAAGTAATTTGCCAAAACAGTGGCAATCCTTAGGCCAATCATACTTCTTCACAGCTTACAAAAGTTTGCCACCAGAAGAATTAGTTGCTTTTTTCTGTAACCAGCTGGTGTTCACACACGTAATCCCAAGTCACTTGAGAGAACCATGCCACTGGCAGTGATTTAGCCTACAGAGGGTTGGATACCAGCTCCCTCCTCACCTCTGCCAGACACAGGGTGCCCAACCCACACCACCCTCCACAAGGTCTGACCCTTCCAGTGTGCATGTTATAAATGGCCTCTGGGCAGAGTGTCCTCTGCTACCTCACTGTCAGCTCCATACATATTTGTCCATTTCAGCTTCTCTTTCAACTGCTCCTTTGCTAAGTCAGAAAGGTATCTGTCCTCCAGTCCAGATTCTCAAAGAAAGTTTGGAGGAAGAAAGTCCCATGGCCCTCTTAAACCTGGTAGTTAATAAAAAGCCTTGAAAAAAAAGTTGATACTCTGATCCCTTTGGATTCTTTGTGTGCAAATTCTAGTATTTCTCAAACTTGCTGGAAGAACCACGTGGAGATCCTTTAGAAAAAATGATTCCAGGGCCTCACCTGTAATCCACTGAGTCAGAATCTGTGCTCATGGGGAACGGAGGATGGTTTTTTAAAGTGGCCCAGGAAGCTCCAGGCTACAGAGAAACCACCTCACCTCCTGTTTCACTGCCAGTCCGTTTTTATCCGTGTCTTCCTCAACTTAAGTCACCTAAAGTGGCAGCTTCATGACTGGGTCAACAACCTTCAGTATACATTACATAAGGGATTCACATTTAGCTTAGTGGGACGGGTGTGGATGCCCCGCCCCAAGGTTCCATGACACCTCTAACTGTCACAGCACGGATCAGTCCATCTCATCTCTCAGAACCCAAGCTGCTAGCTCCACATTCTCATTTCAAAGAAACTAAGCTATAAAAAAAAATGGTGCAATTCAAAACTAATGAAGTGGAATAGTTTGAAATTGCCTTCTTTCCTTATCCGTATTTTTCACCAGATTGTAAGCTCTCTGCAAACAGAACTCCGTTCACCTTTGTATCCTAGCATGTGGCACGCACATGGTAGCGTCATCTGATGTTCGTTAACTATGTTACTGAACAATACTCTTAAAGGGTTATCCTACATTACAAATGGGGAAACGGAAGTCCACCAAGATTGTGACAACTGCCCCATGTTACCAAGGATTCACACCCAGCTCCGTCAGGCCCCTGAGCTTGTGCTCCCTCTGTCAGGCCACATCATGACAAACTGTTCCCTCCAAGTGTGCATCTGTGTGTGAATAAATAACTTACTATTGACACCCCATAATCGCAAGACTTTACCTGGTCCCACAGGATTAGGCGTATATGGTGGTGGAGGGGGCACTCCGGGAGCAATGACATTGGCCAATGGTACCAGACCTGCATTGTTGTAAGCACCTACAATAAAAACAAGATAGGAAAAAAACAGATACATAATTTAGTATCATTCTGTGACCAAGAGTACAAACTGTATTAATGTAGCTGTTAGATTTATTGTTAAAATTGTTACACATGAGAGTTACATGTTCCTCCATGAGAGTTTGGGTCTCAGGTGAAGTGAAAACCCAGGCCAAAGGAGACAACTGGAGGTTCCTGTTCCCGCCACATGCTCAGTCCAGGCATAAGCCAGTGAATGGCATGACAGGAGGAACCCACCATACTTGTTATTTTGTCTTTTCTATCAAACACATATATTTGACCTTTTAAAATTAAATGCATTCATGATGACTCTGAACGCCAACTACCAATAAAGGGATTCAAGATGACTTATCAAAGTGAAAGTTCATAACAAAGAATGATGAAAAATAATCTATAATTAGTTTACCGTCAAGAAAACATCCTAAGTAAACTCTGCCTGCTTCAGTGTTGTAGACCAGTGCACTAGTAGCTCACCATGGGCATACGTAAACTCGTAACAGTATCTTGTAAGTGCTAAGGATTTCCCAAGCATGTACTCTCCATTTAATAAACAAACAGCAATGAAGAAAAACAAGCATAAAAATAGAACTCCTTACTTGGTGCAATAGTTGCATGTGGCCGACACGGAGGTATTGGATAAGGAACAGGCTTATGTGGATTGTATGTTGAAGGAGGCTGCATGGAGGAAGAACGCATGGCAGTTAGAAGATGACCAAGCAGGCTGTCTCCTGGCAAACACAACACTACATGTCTTTCAAAATATCTAGCTTTAAATAGGCTAAAAACGCCCCAGCATATCAAATGCTACTAGACTATATGGCATAAATGAGGAGGTTTACTAATAAATGTGGTTTCTATTAAATTCCAAAGGTAGATCTTGCCACAGATAGTCATGGAGGTGTTTATTTTTTAAGCCACCTCCAATAAAGGGTCAGACCTCATCCTCAATAGCAAACTCCTCTCGGACCCAGCTTAGGTTAGTCCAAGAATTCCTATATCCTCCTATGCAACAAACACAAGAAATTCACTATATTTTGGAATCTCAACTAACAAGAACCCTCAATGGCAAAATCTTTATTAGGAATTCATCAAATCATGCCCACCCTCTTTTCTCCTTTTGGAAGAAAGATGCACTGCTCACTTTGGCACTCAGCAGCCTGACAACTCTAGTAGAATGCAGACTGAAATGGAGAATTCGGTATTTTAGCTGCTTTGCCTTTTGAAAACCATAAATCTGCAAATACTTCTACAGTTGGTGGAACAGGAAAGGGATCCACAGGTGGTCAGCTCTCACAATCATGGGCCCCTCTGAAGCACCAGTCTTGGGCAAAGACCGTGACCTGTGACTAGTTTGCCATCCACAACTGCCATTGCAGTTCTTGTCATGTGGACAAACCGAATGGAGAAGGTGGCTGTGCCTCGGACTCCAGTATTTCAACTCCAGGGTTGCTTCCACCCACGAGGTTATCTTCTCCTGTCCAATTTAAGCTGCCATCAACCCCCTGGCTCCACTGCGGTTTCACCAATACAAATTTGGCCAAACTACAAACTTAGTTAAAGCAATCTCTCCATACTCCACACCTCCAACTGAACAGATGAATGTGTCTAGAGAAAACAATTAAAAGCAATTTGATTGTTCTCACTTTAAAATAAAATGCTTCACCTCAAAAAAGCTCTGTAGAAAACAGTGTGGCGATTCCTAAAAGATCTAAAAATCGATCTTCCTTACAACCTAGAGATCCCCCTTCTGGGAATATACCTGGAGGAATTCAAAAATCATTCTACGAAAAAGATAACTGCATGCATGTTTATTGCAGCATTATTCACAATAGCAAAAACATGGTACCAACTGTGTTGTGAAAGTGAACTGGATTAAAAAAAACATGGCACATATACATAATGGAATACCAAGCAGCCATAAAGGACAAAATTATACACTTCACAGCAACTTGGATGGATTTAGAGTCTATGATACTCAGTGATCTATTACGGAAACAAAAAATTGAGTACCACATGTTCTCACTCATAAGTGGACCTTGAACATTTAATATAGTACTATAAGAAAGGGACTGGCAGTAGCTAGAAACTTGCTGGGGGTGGGGGGTGGGGAAGGAAACATAAAATAAATAAGAGTTCCTAATCTCAAACCAGTCAAAGTGGGGACCAAAGGGAGGCCCAAACTCTACCTGTATGATGACCACTTGTATACCTAATCCTGAATTGTATCCCACATCTTTAAAATAAAACAAAGGGATTGGCAGTAGTGGGAAACTGCCAGGGGAAGGAGAGGGGGCACACAACATCAATAAGGGTACCTGATCTCAAACTAGGTGAAGCAAGGACCAAAGAGAGGACCAACCTTTTCCTGTATAATAATTACCACTTATATACCCAACCCTGCCTGAATTGTACCCATCTTTAAAATAAAACTGTAAAAAAAAAAAAAAACTGTTAACTATTTATACTAATATTTCCCTAGCTCATTCCTTCTCCTCTCTTAGAATTTCTAGCATAAACTTTGCAATACAAAGATAAAGTGTATGCTTTGAATAAACAGAACACTTCATGTAAGATTTGTGGCTTGCTTCATCATTTATCTTCTAAACATACTGGTTTAGATGGTCCAAGAATTCGTGCAGCTATTCCTTTGCCTTCATTGGTACATTCTTCACCATCTTTTTTCAAAGGGGTTCCCTATTTAAAAAAAAAAAAGATAAAAATAAAGATAATTGAAACTTAAAAAAAATTCAAACTAACTCTAACAACCACTACCAACCTCACTGTATTACACTGAAGAAGAGAACTTAGTAGGGCAAAAACTTGGACTCCAACTCAATTCTGCCCTGGTTGGCTGCATGATGGTGATAAGGCCCTCAACCATCCTATGCTGTGAAACCTTCGTAACACATGCAAAGGTACTGAAGTACACATAACACAAACAGAGGCAATGACAAAGACAAAGTATCTCCAGGGGATACCCCCCCAGATTCCAAAACCCGAAGATGCCCAAGTCCCATATAAATGGCACCTTTGCATATAACCTACACACAGCCTCTCATATACTTTAAATCATCTCTAGTACATATAATACCTAATCCAATGTAGATGCTATATAAATAGTCATACTGTATTTTTAACAATTTGTATTTTCTATAATTGTTATTTTTAATGCCATATATTCTAATTTTTTCTTTACAAAAAAAGAGCTACTAGAAATATAGTTTAATGCTACAATATGTATAAGCCTCAAAGAATAAAAAAAGTACCTATATTATAGTTAAAAACAGATGAGAAAATGGTGTTCTCTACAAACATTAAGTGTGATTGTATTGTCAAGGGTCAATGAGACCTCATCCAAGACTGCCATAATATACTGACTGGAATAAGTTGATAGACTAAATTATAGTGTGTCTCCCTAGTGGTGTGTGTCCCTAAATGCCACACTGTAGTGTGGAAACCCACTTCCAAGATTAACCCCGCTGATTCTCGCCTCCTACATGCCCCTGTGCTATTCCCTCCTGCGTGAAAAGGACCAACCTGTGTAACAAACAGTATCCTGCAGGAGTAACTGCATTTCACTTCCAGGCCAAGAGACACTGTTCTTGGATCACTTACTCTGGCGGAAGCCAACTGCCATGTCATGGGGACACTCCAAGAGCATGACAGAAGTCCTTGTGTGAGGAACAAAGTACCCCTGCCAACTACCAACACTAACTTGTCAGGCATGTGAGTCACCTCCAGAGCCTTTTCCTGAGCTCCAAGCAAGCCTTCAGATGAATGTAACCTCATGAGAAGACCTGAGCCAGAACTACTCAGCCAGGCCACTCCTAGATTCCTAACACATAAAAACTATGTGAGATAGACAGTGTTTTAATGGGCTAAGCTGGGAGGAGGGGATATCTGTTACATAGCAATGGAAATATAAGGTAACATTCTTTGAAAATGTTATTTACAAAGAGGTATGAGAAACATTAGATGATACAAAAACAAGTTTCTGTCTCACAAGACTTCTCAGAGCCTTTATTATGCAATGTGATTCTCCAGGAAGGAAACATTACATGCGGTTTCACAAACATACTTAACTGAGTGAAACTGAGAATGTAAGAATACTGAGAATTTGAGACCTGCTCCTTTATTAAATGTAAATTAGTGCTTTTAAAATCTTAGAAAAACAAAATTTTGCTCTCTTCTGTTTGGCTTGTTCCGTAGATTTTACAGAAAAACTTTAATGATGTTTATACAGGAACTTTCAATCACTGGCGAGCCAGTGAATAAGGTGCTGACATAAAATCCTTTCCTTCATAGGAATATCTGCTGGAATTTTATTTAAATGTCACTAACGTATGGCACATTTCACACTTAACCATGAGAAGTTTCACATACAGCCATAAAAGTATGCTTACTGGGAAAATTCCATTTATGCGACTAGGTTTTCCTTTGGGATATGGATTTCCTGGAATCGTTCCACAAGAAGATATCATAGCATGAGGAGCTTTGCAGCCTCCCTTGAAAGCCTGTAATATAAAAAAAAAAAGAGGGTGGTAAAAAGAAATTAACAATAATAAAATCCAGCTAAAAAAAAAAAACGCAAATTAACAAACAGTGTTACATTCAGTTTGCTCATACATCATTTAGCACTTACAGCAGTGAACATGTCCAAAAGTAATAAGAAAAATCACTTTATTTAAAGGGAATTCTTAAAATGGTAATATAATAATGTTAATGTTGCAAATAATAGACCCTCAGACCCTCACACAAAGATATCTGCACAATGGATTTTGTAAATTAAAAAGTCTATTATTATCTAATCTGTGCCATTTCTCCAACTACCAAAAAATAACACATTGCAAATCTACAAACACCAAGCTCATGTTACAGTAAAGACAAGAAGGACACAGATGAAAGGTGGGCTCGGTGGCTCAGCCTGTAATCCCGCACCTTTGGAAGGTTGACGTGGGTGGATTGCCTGAGCCTGCAGGTTCGAGACCTGACGGGGCAACTTGGCGAGACCCATCTCTACAATAAATCAAAATGAGCTGGGTGTGGTAGCACGCACTTGTAGTTCCAGCTACTTGGAAGGCTGAGGCGGAAGGATCGCCGGAGCCCAGTAGGTCGAGGCTGCGGTGGCCGGGAACAGCTACTGCACTCCAGTTTGGGGGACAGAGTGAGACTCCAAGTCAAAAAAAAAAAAAAAGTCATTTCGTCCCTGCTCTGAAGAAATTTACTACTTAGTGGAGAAAATACGAACAACATAGGACACTGGGTATCCAAAGAGCTATACTGTTGAAAAACCAAGAGTTATTTGGACACACAGTATTCAACATAATATCACAAATCTGTAAGATATAGTAGAGGAAGGGATTTTGGTCTAGGCTGTTCATTACTGCATCCCAAACTTCTAAAATGATGCCTCCCAATAAATATTTATTAAATGAATGAAAAACACTATATTAGGCAACACATTTTCCAATAGATCTATAAGAATATCCTATGATATACATTTCCCTATATTTTACAAGTATATTTTTTTGTCATAGATTTACTTTGGTTTCATAAATCTATTCACAGTATGTTTCATTATAGTAGCATTACAATCCAGCCCCCTACTAAATACCTCAACTCTAAAAATCACCTTAATTTTGGACTATTATAAATAGTACTGGGGTGAATGTCTATGTATATAAACTTATATATTATTTCCTTGGGAGAAATTTCTAGTAGAATTTTCAGGCAAAAAGGTATGAATATTTTAAAGGTTCTTCACGTTTACCTTCTAGAAAAGCTGGACTAATTTACATTGACCAGAGGGCCTACTCCACAGAACACTCAGGCCCAGAATACTTCTGAGAAGGAAAGTGACATGATCAGAATGCTTTATAAGGAAAAAAACACTACAATAGTAATATGCAAGATACCTTAAAGATTTTAGTCAGGAAAAGCAACGATAAAGTTATTAAAATCAAGAAACATGGCTACGATAATGTATGACTAAAGCCATGCTGCCTCCACTCCCTGAACTTGGAGGAAGTTGTGAGGATTAAACAAAAGTGAGCAGCAAGACCCTGTTGCATCTTCCTCAAGTCAGTTTCTAATGATTCATTCTGTTTCCAGCTACCACAGTCCTAGGAAGTAACTACCTCAGATGACAAATCAAGTCTTCTAGGCTTGGACAAGTGCTCCTTCCCCCACTCTTGGAGAGTTCAAACTAATCAACTGAAATTTTGCCTTCATATTCATCTCTTATGAATTTGATTAAAGTAAACCTGATAACAAAGCAAATTTGAAAGTCAAGATCCTAAATACATGAAGTTTAAGACAAAAGCTTGGAGCCATGGCAAAGATATCAGGGACCAAGACATAAATACCCTATGAGATACCAGCTAAGGGGCCACCCAGCTTCTCGCTCTTAAGCTGTCTCTTCCCTGCCCAGTGTCCCCTTCAGCCAGCTCCATTTCTACTTGATAGATTGCAGGGATGCTCATTTTTAACTTACTGTGTAACAGCATTCAGATTATTCACAAAAGTTAACACGAGAGGCACTTTTTTATTCTTTAATGTTTTGAAAAGCCAGCAAGTCACTACATGGCAACCTGAGAAAGTTACCTGTTCAAGTACTCTCTTGCACCGTTTCTTCTCAGACATGTTTATTCGGAATAAATCTTCAATAGGACGAGAATTCTGTGCATCAACAATGTTTCTACCAAGAAAACACAATTTAGCTTTTTGTTTATGAACCTGTACATACACAGAGAGGTCAGCAACTTTTGTTTACTGCACAAACATATGAGTCAGCTTTCCCTATAATACAGGAAGGAAAGTGATTAATTATTCACTTTTGACAGTTCAATTTAAATATGTTTACATAAGGATAATTATAATAACCAAACTAATATGTATCTAACTGATTACTAGAAAGTAACAAAATATTATTGCAAATAAAAAAATCACTATTTTGAGACTTAAAAAAAAAAATCTTCTTTAATGAGTGTCAAAAGAGCTATGATGGCCAGGCACAGTGGTTCAAGCCTGAAATTCCAGCACTTTGGGAGGTTAGGGTGACGGGATTGCCTGAGCCCATGGGTTTGAGTACAGCGTGGGCAACTTGGTGAGACCTCATCTACAATAAATCAAAAAACTACCCAGCTGTGGTAGCACGTGCCTATAGTTCTAGCTACTTAGAAGGTTGAGGCGGAAGGATTGCGAGAGCCCAGCGGGTCAACACTTGGGTGGCTATAAGAGTGCCACTGCACTCCAGCCTGGGCGATGGAGTGAGACTCTAACTCAAAAAAAAAAAAAAAAAAAGAGCTATGACAATAGAACCAACCCATGTGTTAAGGGCACATAAATCATGGTTGAGCTAAAAATGAAGTTTAACTGTGTACTTTATTGTTGTGTTTTTATGGACATCTATAAATACAAAAGGGACTTAAAAATGTATGTGCCATAAACAACAACTTATACACTCTTCAGGTATACAAAGGAACAAGTAGGCTCCTTCTTCTTCTCCTTGAGCTTATTATATTCATCATGAGCCTCTATGAAATGCTAGCATTTAAAGTTCATATGCCCTCTTAAGTAGGTGAGATCCTTCTCTTTACAACTGAGAGAAACCAGGCTCAGAAATGAGTAACTTGCCAAAAAATATGTGTCAGTAGGCAGCAGAACCTCTATCCAATTTTTAAATGCCTATGTTTTCACCATGCCTTTCAAGTTATTCAGAGTAGGAAGGCAAAGCAAGTCACTGAAATGCACGAAGATCAAATTAAGTAACTACCCTTGATAAGCCCCATTATTCTGAAAGGTATAAGTACACTGGATATTTATTCACATGAGGAAATCAGAATTCAACACTGTGCTTTTATAGACTATACTTTATTAGAGTTCTATTTTCTGACATAATTCTGACACATTAATACACACTAATGAGTTAAAGGGTTCAAAAAGGCTTGCAAACTTTTTTCCAATGAAGTCAAAACAAAAAGAAATACTTACGAAGCTAACAGTTCAAGAGCAACTAGTTTGTCTTTACTGAAAGTAAAACAGTTGAGTATATTGACCACTTCTGCTGGGTGAACAGCCACCATTTTCTGTTAATATAAAAATAATTTTATTTTTAGCATATGAGATTTTCATGCCAGAAATTGCCCTTTTTTGAAAGTACAGTTAAATGCTCTTAATACAAGCACTTTAGGTAAAAAGTTCATATTTTAATAGTTCATATTAGGTTAAAACTACCCAAAAGAAGTTCTAAAAAGTATATGAATTATATTCATGCCATTTCAGTGTAATTATTTCAGTTGAAGATCTAAGTTCTCCTATACACTCTTGTATTAAAAACTTTTTCTTGATGTATGTACTGATGAAATAAAAAATTTACAAGTACTACTTTCCTCAGAGAGGTTATATAACAAAGTGATAGTTATGCATATGGGAGATTAACTTGCTCAAGGGTTAGAAAAAAAATTATTAAATTCCTCAGTTAGGGGCAAGGTACACCACAGATCAGCAATTCCCAAAAGGGCACACTCATCACACAAGTTAGGGAAAACTGTGCTAACCAGGTTTCTTTACAGTAGACCTTCCTTAAGAATCGTAAGTTAATGTGCACTAGCATACTCCAAGATCATGTGGAATGTTCAAGAATTATTTGATGAGGATACCTTTTTTTGAAATGCATCTAGAAGGTTTGGCCTACTTACAGATTTATGTTAACAGTAAAGGAAATGTAAAAGCAAAGACAACAAAGGAAGTAAGACTGGTTAGAATCAACACCCAATAGTTCCTAAAATTTGCAGCAGTAGTTTGTATACACTTTTATTTATGTAGGTTATGGTGCAAAAGAATTGATACTACTATGCACCCCTTTCCATGTTTTTAAATTGATACCTAAAGATTTTACCAGAAGTTTAAATACTAGCAAAAGCTCGTTGTTCTTTAATACATTTACAGATCTGTAAAAACTTTGGAACTACTAATTTAGTTCACTGAACATATGGAACTGCACATTATATAACCTAGTTGGCAAAATCCATCTTCAGTGTGGAAACAGTCAAATCAGACTGATTGTGTCAGAAAAGGTCAGACCAGTTTAACTCATATAAGGGTCCCGAGTTGTCCCTGTGACTCTACTGTCCTCTAAATTTTAACTCCAAGCCAGGCAGACAGGAAAGCAGGCCTCTGAGCTTTGTCATGAGTTTGCTGTCTTGGTAAAACCTAAGGCAAAGCCATTGTCACTTCTTCAGATTCTCTCTTTGCATTGCTCTCCCTCTCAGGAACAAAGCATTGTCTTTTTGGAACTTAGAGAGACATTTTCACTCCCGGAGCATAGGTGAGATAACCCCTTTCCTTCATAAAGCAGAAAAAAAAGCAAGCATTAGACAGGAGCTCAGAAAGCAGCACCAACAGACCCAGTGACTTTCTTAGGGAGATCAGTTTAGGAAGTCAAAGATCTGTAAATGGACTCCATAAAGCTCTCCATGCCTCATAATGCTTGGAAAATCTTCCTATACAGCCAGATTCTCCTGTGTGATCCCAATGCTCCTGTTATCTAGGTTTTAGAGCTGTGCCAACCATTATAGTAGCCACTAGGCATATGTGCCTCCTTGAGTCAAGTACAATTAAATAAAGCTAACTACACGATTCCTCAGACAGACTATGCACATTTTAAGTGTTGAATAGCCATATGTGGCCAGTGGCGACCACACTGGACAGTCCAGATATAAAAACTTCCATCATCAATGAAAATTTATTTGGGCAGTGCTGATCTAAAGAACGTAAGTATGACCCATATGACAACTCTTCTAAGACTAAGCGCAAGATCTAGCCTAGGTAACACAGCAAGACCTTATCTCTACAAAAAGAAAAAAATAAATAAATATAAACACACACACACACACACACACATGCACGCTAGGTGTGGTGGCAGGTGTCTATAGTCAGCTACTCAGGGAGCTGAAGCAGAAGGATCACTTGAGCCCAGGCTGTGATGATCTGTGATCATGCTACTGAACTCTAGCCTAGGCGACAGAGTAAGACCCTAACTAAAAAAAAAAAAAAAGACTAAATAGAAAAAGGTCAAGCTGGATATTAAAAAATAAAACAGAAGTGCATAAAAACACTTAAGAATTCAAATTTATATTTTGTTTGTCTGTGAACATTTTTTTCCTCCAATTTTCAAATTAGGACACTGTGGCATACAATTTAATAATACAGTAGCATACATTTAAATTCAGTTTGAAAAGTTTTCACTTTTTAATATAGCTATTTTGAATAATCACAGTATGATAACATTTAGAGTTAGCATTCCTGATGCAAATAAATTACAAGTGAGACAAGTTATGGATAACTGGGAGAATGAAAAATTCTTATCTATATTCTAAGGAAAAACTAAGTTACTTACATGCTGTAATGCCTTCATTGCCTTCAATTGCGGCTCAGCCCAGGAAAAATATCTCAGCAAATCCACCACCTGAAAACAAAGAACTAATTTAGCTTTAGAGACAGTGTGTTTGCAGACATTTCTGCAATTTATTTCAGTACCTGAAATTATTGTTCAGCGTAATGAGTGATGCACCAGAGTCTACATTATACTGTCTAACAGAGTCACCATGTGTGGTCATGTCAATTTAAATCACTTAAAATTAATTAAATTTAAAGTTTTAGTTCCTTAGTGACACAGCCACATTTCAAGCACTAAATACCCTTATGAAGTTGAGAGCTACTGTAACAGACACTGCAGACAGAGAATATTTCTACCAACACAGAAAGTTCTAATGGATAGCACTGGTCTAGATAAAAAGGAATATACAAGCTGGGCTCGGTGGCTCAGCCTGTAATCCCACGCCTTTGGGAGGCTGAGGTGA